CTGACAAACAGGAGCCTCTCATTGGCTAACAGGCATCGCAACACACTTACTGTTAAGTAGCTAAATAAATTGTTTTAAGTTTTGACATCAGAAAAATATTTGTAAAATAATTCTCTTATCACAGGGACAGTGCATATGTATTTGAGTATGGGCAGACTATCTGGAGACTCAGGTTATATCATTTAGATGGCTGTTGATATTCCTATTACTTTCTTGTCTTACTAAACCTCTGCAGCCCTCAGCAACTCCTACCTCATTCATCCACCACTTAGATGGAACGTGCAGCCTTCTTCAATATCATTGTAAATACCAGTATACCAATCAACCAGTAAGGGGAAGAGAGTTCTGCAACAATGCAACTCGCGTCTTTTCTTGACCTGTCTAAACACTCAAACCAAATGTACCAATTTTACAATGTTTATTAATCTCAACTGAACTTGGCCTACCCTCATATCAGCATCACACACTACTGCTGCATCTCTGGTCTGGCTGCCATAAGCTTTTTAGTATAATAAACTATTCTTAATAACTAGGAAAATGCAAATTATTACAGCTAAACAGAATAGCTAAGTGTTTGATGGAAATAAGCAATGCCAATGGAAGAAATGTAATGAGTAACATGAATTCTAACAAACTTTCTTCATGCATGCCAATGTATCCCTCAATTGTGTGTATGCTAGAGAGTTTCTGAAAAGTTCACAATTCCTAATATTTTCTAGATAATCAAAAAATTAACAGAATTCCTGCTGTAACCTGAGAAGGGCACCGTCAAGTATTGTGGGCTCAATATTTATGTTTTGTAAAAGTTTTACAAAAGGAAATATGAATATATTTTCATGATTCAAAACAAAATATGATTTTATTTTATTTAAATAGACCTCAAACATTACAGGAGAAAACCAACGAAGTGTGTGTACCAAGGAATGCCACTAGACAGCTGGTGATCACATGGTTGCCAAAAGCTTTGATGGCGTGATATGATCGCCAATGATGAACATAAACTCAACATCCAGCCAGATCATCTTAATGACTTAGCAAGATCTGCAAGAAGGCTACATCACTTTGGGATTTGCCATGATTATGCTGATACATGAGAACCATAAAGGGAAAGTGAACAAAAATAAAAGAAAAACTGTCAATCACAAGTCTATTTTTGTTGAAGAGCGCAATAAGTAAACAAATATCAAATCTGAAGAAAAATAAACTGAATTTTTTTAGATTTTTTTCAAACTTTTAATAATCTAAGGTACTGTTAGTAACACAGGTTATTTATTTTTAAATTGACTTTTAACTTGACAGCATCCCTTTAATGTCATATTATGACACCAAAACTAATCAATCTAATCTTTTTTTAAAAATCAGGACTAGCTAAAATTGTATTCATAAAACTAATCTGTTAATTACTACAGAAACTTTGTGATTTGATGAATGGGGATGAATGACAGCAAATAAATAAAGTTGCTTAGTGCAAGTAACAAAACAGTATTAGATACCGATATGACCAAAGTGATAGAGGTTATGAGAAGCGCAAACAAATGGCAGTAAGCAAAGTTTCATTTGCTTATGTTTCGTTTGTCTCCATGTGAAAATTATATAAATTGATTCAAAAGTCTTGAAAAACTTTGCTGCACATTTATCACAATGACAAACAGCTTTGATACACATTATTTAGATCGCTCAAAAGAATTCTTTAGGCGCGTATAGAAAAGCGTTATGATGATGCAATTAAGATGAGGGTCACAAGTGAAATGAGTTCTAGCTATCTGAGCTTGAGTCGGCAATGCATATAAAAACACTGTACTTTATTGCTAAAGATTGGCTGGTATATTCTTAGCTTCCAAGTAAAATTAAAACTCAGTAGGTATTTCAGATCAATTAACAGTTTGAGCTGAACCTTTTACATTTCAGTCAAACCCTTGTGTATAATCAGTTGAACCCATATATACCAAGTGCCCAATGTAATAAAAAAAAAAAAACACCACCATTTTGCAATTTCCTGCTTAACATTTTAGCAGCAAGAAATGCATTTGCAATTTATTCAGTTTCCTTAACAGACACTCAAACAAATACAAGATATCTTCTGAACATGGGGGAAGTAAGAGGAGAAATATTATTGTAGTGATAAAAGAGCAATTTTACAAATGTAAATTATTAATTGTACTTGTTTTTCTGCACTCCTAAAACAAACCTGCTATAGTCATGTACACAGGAACGCACCATGTGCTTAAGACAACTTTTTTAAACACATGAAGCAAAAGCAGGGGCATGGACATGGGCGGCTCCAGGCACCAAGCGCGTGCCTGGGGCGGCAAGCTGCGGGGGGCGGCGTGCTGGTCGCCGTGAGGGCGGCAGTCAGGTAGCCTTCGGCGGTCCCGCAGCGGGTATGCCAAAGGCGCGGGACCGGCAGATCACCCGCAGAAACACCGCCGAATCTGCGTGACCAGCGGACCGCCAGCAGGCGTGCCGCTGAAGGCCGCCTGACTGCCGTGCTTGGGGCAGCAAAAAACATAGAGCCTGGAGATAGATATTTACCTTAACAATGTATTTTATTTTGCAAGCCAATTATTTCTGTTCAAAATATCACAAAACATAGAAAAAATATTGTTTGTCTTAATGTGTTAAAAAATATAATTGCTGGAAAAACCACATTTTAAACTGTCTATGCTCTTAAAAGATGCAATTGTTGAATTGTAGATTATACATCTCTACCCCGATATAATGCTGTCCAAAAAATCTTACCGCGTTAGAGGTGAAACCGCATTATATCGAACTTGCTTTGATCCGCAGGAGCGCCCCATCCCCCCCGGAGCGCTGCTTTACCGCGTTATATCCAAATTCGTGTTATATCACGTCGCGTTATATCGGGGTAGAGGTGTATTATAAAATCCTTTGTAAATATCAAGACATGCTTCTCCATATTTGGAAAAAAATTCGAATATGGTTTTCAGTTGCAAAATTTAACATGGGACTTTCAGACTTTCAGACTAGTAAACATTTTCAATGCAAGTCCAGTACTCTTCACATGTTTCTTAAATATTTTTTTTCAATTATGTTTTCTATTTACATTTAATCAACAGTTTGTCCCTACTGAGCTCATCTTTTCCACTTATTTTTTTCTGCTGTCACTTCAGACTGCTGAATTTATTACATGTTATTTTATATGGCAACAGAATGGCATCATCCTGTTAAACACAAGATTATATCTGTACTGGTATGATCAGGTAGTTTTCTTGCCAGTGAGTTGTAAAGAGGGGACATTCTTATTCAAACGTAAAGCCATTAATAATAGCTAAGAGAACACAAGAAAATATTTGCCATTTAATTTTTTTTCTAGAAACATCTCTTGTCAAATTTACTTCAGTGGAAAAGACCCCCCTCTTCACTTTTGCCTACAGGAAACTACTCTAGTTCTGCCCCTATTTTGTAATCCTAGGGCTCATACTAAACTGGCTGTAAGAACAATGATGCAGAATTTCTTCAATTTTATTGAATTGGGCTATAGAAGGAACTAATGCAAAATGTTCTATATAAAGGCCATGAAAAGGGAAAATATATGATCAGAGGCTTTTTAATTAAATAAATCTGATTTATCAGTGACACTCCTTTAAGAACCACCTTTTAAAATTAAAATACTGTAAGTGCTGCAACATATAATCCCTTTCCTTTAGTGATCACAAAATCATACACAAAACTCCTGCTGCAGGCTGAATCTCTGTTCTCTTAATTTTCCAATATAACATGACTTAGGCTATGACTCACAGTTCTTTACGTTTTTTCTTTTCATTCATAACAGTTCTCAACAAAAGAATTCACAATACCATATAGAGATGGCAGTTTCAATGTTAGGGGGAAACAACACCTTTTACTTTTAATAATCCAGATTGCAGTTAGTCCTTGATTATATTAATGCAATTGTTATTTTACAAGATCATTTGCATTATCTGATGCCACAGTAATGGGCTCAGCATTTCATATGCATACAGCTTCAAATGTTGACATATTAGTTGATTTTTACTGATTTCCTCTATCTCCAAAACTAAAATCCCTTCGTTTTTTAGTAACTTTTTGCACTAATATATAAATACTATTTAGTCATGCTCCATCTCGCTATTCTTCTCCTTAGGACATTTTTCAGTTTGCTCTTTCTACTTCACTTTTCATAATTTCTCTTGTCCTTTAATTTCTAATGTCCATAATCAGGGCAAAATATCCTCAGGAGTAGGTAAAAAATGTACACTAGGGCTACTCAGCAAGGATACAGTAAATATAAACCAATTTTTCTTAATTAGAATTAAGTTCTTAAGGGAAAGGACCATGTTTGCCTTGTTCTTTGTCTATATATGTTAAGGTTGCCCATCACTGCGGTAACAGAATGCTTCTTGACAGCTATATTTAATACAACTAGTACAATGAGGCTCTGATCCTCATAGGATTGGGGTCTTTGGGAGTTACCAGAAATATTAAATAATAATTGGGAATTACCAGAAATAATAAATAATAATTAACAACAAGCAGAACAATACTAAAAGTTAATATAATGGAACTATTCAGAACTAGTGGTGACTATTTTGAGATATGATACAAAATAAATCCCAAAATTGGATTTAAAAAAAGGAATGAATGCAAAGTAGTTACATATATCTGTAGGGTTAAGATATTAGTTATAAAATTCAATTATATAAACAAAGTGGTCCTAGCAAGGTAATGTTTTGTTTCTTTTTCAGAAAGTAGGAAAACACATGTACAACAATTTAAGGACCTGATCCTGCAAATACTCAAGCATGCACACAACTTTATGCACATGAACAGCCCATGAACTAAATGGAGTTCTTCATATGCACAAATTTAAGAGTATTTATAAGTGTTTGCAAGATGGGGGCCAAAATTACTTATTTTTTCAAACACATTATTTCGGTTACAGGAAACATACATAATCATAAGAGAGCACAACAGGGACTAGGAAACTTGCTCTAAAAATTCATGTAGTTCTGAATACTTACTGTAGCTGGGGAGGCCCGCATTGTATGAGTCACTGAATGAGCAGAATTTTCCATTGAATTGCCAATCAGATAGGTCCCTCCAGAGCTGCTAATGAGTTGTCCTCCTGTGACACCCATTTGAATCCCTCCAGAGCCCACCATACTATGAGATGAGACCACTGTTGTCACTTGTGCAGAACCTCCTTGCGTATCAAAGTAATTCCCCCCGGTGTTTTGGCTATACATCTGGGTTTCTGTGTAAGGGTAAGTTGTTGTTCGGCTTTAGGAAAAGAAAAAAAAAAGGTATTTATTTGTCTTCTTTATTGGGTGAGTGCGATATTATCACTGTGGAAATGAGTATACAATAGTTGCAATCAAATTAAATAAGACTGGTGCACAACCCATGCCCCCACTGACAATAACATTTTGCAATGTCTAAGCATTGAGTAATTGACTTCCATGACTAAGTATTGAAATAAGTATTTTCCCCCCATATAGATCATCAGGTGGGCTTGAACTCTGACCTTTCAGATCCTCAGCATAGACAGGGCCCTGTGTATTTGGAAATTTTAATTTTTGTCCATAGAATTTGCTGCAGAATTCACCCCTTTGTTGAAGGATTGTGTCCCAGAATCTGATTTTCAATTGCGTTTCTAGACGTTATTATTGCAAAGAAAATCTCAAAAATGTGAATTGAGTTTAAACCCAATGCAGTGTCATCTGTCTGCGTCTGCAGAGAACATGAAGCAGTAGCTCTGGGAAGTGTGACCTGCCCCAATCATCTTAATCAGAGCCACTTTGAAATTCTGTGGCTGAGCAATTTGGCATTTTCCCAAGTTGCCATGGAATTCAGCTTTTTTGTCACAGAATTCACCATTTCCCTGCAGCTGTGCACCTCATATTTTACTTCCTGTCTGTGTCCCTATTAGGATTGCCAGGCGTCCGGTTTTTGACCGGAACGCACAGTTAAAAAGGGACCCTGGCGGCTCCGGTTGGCACTGCTGACCAGGCCGTTAAAAGTCCAGTCAGTGGTGCAGCAGGGGCTCCCTACCTGCCCTGGCTCCGCATGGCTCCCAGAAGCAGCTGCCAGGCCCCTGCGGCCCCTAGGCACATGGGCGGCGAGGAGGGCTCTGCACCCTGCCCCCGCCCCGAGCACCGGCTCCCATTGGGAGCTGCGGGGGTGGCGCCTGCAGGCGCGAGGGCAGGATGCGGCACCTCCCTGGCCACCCATGCACCTAGGGGCCACAGGGAGTTGGCAGCCACTTCCTGGGAGCTGCGGTAAGCGCCGCTGGGACCCCACAGCCCCTCCTGCACCCCAAACCCATCCCAGCCCTGAGCCCCCTGCTGCACCTGAAACCCCTCAGCCCCAACCCCCAGCCAGAGCCCACACCCCCTTCCACACTCCAAACCCCTCGGCCCCAGCCCGGAGCCCCCTCCTGCACACCAAACACCTCATCCCCAGTCCCACCCCAGAGCCCGCACCCCAACCCCTGCCCCAGCCTGAAGCTCTGTCCTACACCCTTAACACCTCATTTCTGGCCCCATCCAGAGTCCACACCCCCAATCCAGAGCCCATAACCCCCCGCATCCCAACCCTCTGCCCCAGCCCGAACCCCCCTCTCATACCCCAACCCCTCATCCCCGCCCCAACCAGAGCCTCACCCCCCCCCCCGCACCCCAAACCCCTGCCCCAGCCCAGTGAAACTGAGTGAGGGTGGGAGAGTGTGTGCAACGGAGGGAGGGGAGATGGAGCGAGTGGGGAGCGGGGCCCCGGAAAAGGAGCAGGGGAAGGGGCAGGGCCTCGGAGAAGGGGCAGGGAAGGGGGTGGGGCAGGGGTGTTCAGTTTTGTGCAATTAGAAAGTTGGCAACCCTAGTCCCAGCTGTGCCAGATCTATCTGGCTGCTGCCTCCTGCCCTCCAGCTTTCTCCAGAAGGGTGAGTTAATTGGATGACAGTGTATGCTGCCTACATTAAACCATGAAACCAGACACCACAGCATGAGGGCATCCAAAATTACTATCCTTCTGGACAACAAGGCCTGGGCAAGACTTTCTATGCACTTTGTCAACACTGCTCTATAATTATTCAGAAGAGTCCACGTGGATAAGGCAGAACACTCCCCTTTCCTCTCAAGGGGTTGAGCATTCTGACTTAACAAAACAGTCTAAGAGACTGGAACCATAAATAGATCCCAGGTCAGCTGCTGAGCAGTGCATTACAGGCCATGACAGTACATTATTCTTTTAAAAAAAACAATAAAGACTTACACTTGATTTATTAACAAATCAGCAGAGCAAGGGCTCAGTGATAATTTATCCTTCTCTAGATTCTACAATCTATTAGCTTTTAAACAATGGCAGAATCACAGAATACATGAGGCCATGATAATAGCACAGACCAGAACTTGTTAGTTTCAATTACCTTTACACTGTGGCCATCATGAACTCCCTCGGGATTCTCCCTTGTCGTTCAGAGCCACTTTAGAAGCTATGAAGCTTCACTTTCAAATTTTTTAATGCTTTTAAATCCTGGTGCTATACTATTATTGTCATGAGAGGGTGGAACTTCTAAAGTAGCTTTTAACATTTTTTTTTTAAAATGATTCCAACCTCCTTTGTAAAGTCTATTGAGATCTATACATGAAAAGCGCTATATAAGAACTAGGAATTTTTATTATTATTATTATTTCAAAAGTTTAAAAACAGCCATGAGAATTCACCACCAATCTAAGAAGACTGCACATCATACGGAAAACAAACAGACAAAAAAAACCTGTGAAAAAATATTTGGTGAGGAGGGAGTTCCTGGATGTGCGTTCTACTCTTTAATAACACCTCTTCTTGAGAGCTGGAAGCATTCAATCTTGTGCATCACCAGGCATGCCAGTTACTAAAGTTCTGTGCATGCCCTGTTATATTTTACTGTTTATGTACCATTTTCCTCTAGAATTTTTAAAAAAAAAAAATGAATACTAGTAGAAATAAAACTTCAGGGGCTAAAAAAATGTTGTTTTACAGAATGACTGAGTTTGTAGCACGTCAAAACAGAAAGCAGATATCCAATTGTGAATTCAGTAAATCTAGGCACTACTGTAATGCTATTACTGAAATAAATTCAAAGTTGCACAGCTGAATTTCTAACAACTGACTATGGGCACCTACATACTGTTACTACGCTTATTTAAAAAAAAAAAATTCTTCAATTTCTACTGTAATACTTTTTTGGGAAAATGTATATAATAATCATGAATAAATGCACTGATACAGAAAGGGTAAATCTTGTTATTGTTCTCCCTTAAGTTTAGACTGTGTGTATGCGCACACAGAGAGTGATTTATTTCCAGCAGACTCTATTATTAGGTTTTATGTAAATGTCAAGACTCTGATCTGTTGACTTCTATAAATTAGTGCTCCTGCCATCCCATCATGCCTTAGCCAGTACCCTAACTCTACGTGACCCTGAATTTTCTTTGAACTACTAATTCAGTAGGTGATCACCATCTTGTATTTATGTTTGTATGTAGGGGTTGTTTTTAGTTTTAGAACCACTTTTACTTATATTGTCTTCTTCAAAAATATTTTTTCCTCTGCAATGAATTTTCTTCCTGTTATGTCATGTTTTACTTAAAAAAAGAAGAAGAAAAAAAAGGCAGCCATCTAATTAGACAGTTTTGAAGCTGGTTAAGAATCTGAACTTGAGAATGTGCACTCAAGTTGAGCCTTACAATTTTTTTTGTTTGAACCTATATATAAAAATTAGAAATATTCGCACATATTACAGTGACAGTAAAGGGGTAGTACACAACACTTCTGTGTTTAAAATGAGGAAAATGACTTTCTTTGTGATCCTATTAATTTTTCTGTAGTTCTATTCCACATAAGAAATAAAGGTGCATAAATATAAAACTCAGAATTACTCATCAGACTTTTTTGTGGACTATCCAGTCTGAGCAGGCAGAAATGTTTGTCAGAAGTTACACTTATATTTTTGAAATGTAGGTTAGCCTTACACAGTACATAAACATTTCTGAAGGGACTTTTCATTGAGCTATATAGTATGGTGGATGTAAATAAAAATATGGATAGTTCCAACTAATGAATAAGGAGCTGTGGACCTAGGATTGTGCATGGAGCTGGTAACCCCATCACATAAAACAAATATAGTACAGAAATGAACACCAGCAGCCATATTTGTGTGTCAAAGGCTCCAAAAAGACATCAGCTTCACAGGAAGAATATGATAGGCATTGGTCAAAGCCAGATGGAAGCCTATATCCTGAAAAGTACCTTGGGTCAAGATCAGATCAGTGATGAAAATCAGATTTTGGAATGTGAGACTAATATATGAAACTACTAAAACTGCTAAAAAAAGTAAGAAAAAAAAAAAAGGACAGATATCATCTTGATGTCCTTGTTATCAGTGAGTGTAGGTGGACAAGTTCAAATAAATTACATTTCAGAGAAACAAATAAGATCATAATCTACTGTAGGAAAGCAGATGATAGCCATGAAGCTGGCACAGAAATTCTAAAGTTGAAAAAACTGAGCAGGCCCTAAGCGAGTGGGAATCATTAAATTAAGGAGTTATTGGAACTTGTTTTCAGACTAGATTCTTCAAACTAACAGTCATACAATGTTATGCACCAAACCAGGAAAAGCCTGGAAAAGAAAAAAATTGCTTTTTATGATTTTTTATAGGATGTGTTAACCAAAGTTCTCAAATATTATATCATAGTGACTGTGCATGATTTTAATGTAAAGGTTGGAAGTAACAATAATTGGTTGGATAAAGTTCTGGGCAAGTGTGGCAGGGATTTGGACATGAATCAAAATGGTGAACAACTAGTAGAAAGTTGCAATGTGAATCACCTAGTGATAAGTGGAGCAATACTCCCTTCCCACATAATGAAATCCATAAAGTGACACGGAACTCCCCCGATGGTACTACAAAGAACCAGATACATTGCTTCTGAATTTCAAGGAAGTTTTGCAGCTCACTGGCAGATGTACGTGCATACAGGGGAACAGACATGGGAAGTGACCATAATCTTTGTATCACTAAATTGAAGATCAAGTTAAAGAAGATGAAGAAAGTTAAAAAAAGCCATGAATCAAGAGTGCCAAATTAGAAGACCCAGACACAAAAAGTGCTTTTCAGCTTGAACTGAAGAACAAGTTCAGTGTTCTCATGGAGTCAAACTGAAGAAAACAAAGACACTGATACTATGTGGGAAGATATCAGAGAATGCTATCTAGAAAGTGCAAAGACAGTCTTAATAGCA